TAATGATAAAATGCACTGGCTTTAAAGACAGGGAACTATTTACTTTCTATTTTTGTTTTCAGTATATCTTAGTTGCTTTTCTAGTTATATTTTCTGGAAATCTACAGGAAATACAAGTGCATCTGTTATGTCAGCAGTACCAACATTTTATTCAACCAAAGATCTCCCTTACATTAAGTGTATTACAATATGATATTCTTCTGTCTGCTGAGTTGCACCTGTACCTACCTCTTAAATAGTGCACATTATTAATGATAGAGCAATAGTTAAATATGAAGGAAGGTAAATTATAGTCAGAGGGAAAAAAAAGGACAGGGAAGGTAGATTTTTTGACATTTATTCAAGGTCAATCAAACACATCTGCAGCAGAAAGAGCAATGTTCCAATATGTGCTGCATGCCCAATATGTCAATTTCTGTATTAAAATTGTATGCTGAAAAGGGCATTTGTTTAAAATCCTGCCCAGTGGCGGCATTTTAATAGTCGGTCTTGGTGCCAAAATGGATGGCATTCGTTTTTATTCCTAAGACTGCAATTTTCCTTTCTTTGCTATTGTTCCTTTCTTTGTTCTGTTTCTGTGGTCTCTTGAATAAAACAGCACATTCCCTAATGCAGTAAACAGGTCACTCATAAGTCACTCATAATTTTCCAAAACAAAAAGCTACCTTTTGTTTAAAAAAAATATTATGTTATACTGGAAAATGATGAATAGTATGAACTCCTTCAGAAAGGTCACTTCAAGAAATAACCCAGCTTCTTTCACATTATGCTGGTATGAATGTATATATGCATGTGTGTTAAAATCTATAGGAATTTTTCATTTTCTTTTCTTTAATTTTTTTGTTGCTAATTTCCATCCCATTTGCAACTTGATATTCCTGTCCCTAGATCAGCATACAAATGAGAAGTTCATTAACTTTAAAGCTTAACTGTAACAGAAAGTATTAATATTAAAGCTGAATTCTTAGTTAATATGTTTTTATGGAAGGAGACATGATTTTTCTTTGCTCTCTTGTCACTGGATTGTCCCAGTTTCATCTGTCTTTTCAGTTTCTGGCTCAGCCTGCAAAAATTTCTTGAAAAAGAAATAGCTAGATCCCTGTTATCCTCAGGATTTCATATCCTGTCAGCCCCTGTTCCTGGCACAAGGCCAGATTTATAATTTTATGTGCTTCAAGGTACATAAGAGAGAAAACCCTGGAAATAAAATTCTGTGCTAATAAGAGATGTTGAAAATTTTAAAAAGATAATATAGATTTATTCAAGTCTAGATTTTGTATTCAAATGCCACTACTCTATTTAGGCTAAATGAGAATCAACATTGTGATTAGATAGGCGATACTGCTGCCACATTTTCAATAAATCAACAATCGATTAGAGGACTATAAGTTAGGTACTCTGCTGAAAGATTAGAATACAAAGAAGTAGAGACAGTTCCAAAATAGGCATGTTTAGTCTGTGCCTATATCTGAGTTACAATAGCAGAGTTCTGAATACTATTTCAAACAATAAATGTTTGGCTAATAAATTTATTATGAATTATGAATCAATTTTCTAACAGGCTCAAAGGAGCTAAAGAACTTCTAGATGCTGATGTCATCATAGGAGATCATTACGGGGTCTTTGAGGAACATCTAAGATAAAATTGGTAATTTCAAGTACTTAAAGTTAAATTTGGTACATTTTTACATATGAAAAATTTTTTAAAAAATGATATATAATTTCACTAAAAGACATTCTCAAAAAGACAAAAGTACAAACTGAACAGACACTTTTCAGAAAAGTATATACAATCAATCAACAAACACATGAAAAAAATGTTCAACATCTCTAGCAGTTAGAGGAATGCAAATCAAAACTACTCTAAGATTTCATCTCACTCTAGTCAGAATGGCAGCTATCAAGAATACAAATAATAACAAGTGTTGCCGGGGATGTGGGAAAAAAGGCACACACATACATTGCTGGTGGTACTGCAAATTAGTGCAGCCAATCTGGAAAGCAGTATGGAGATTCCTTGAAAAACTTGGAATGGAACCACCATTTGACCCAGTTATCCCACTCCTTGGTTTATACCCAAGGAACTTAAAAACAGCATACTACAGGGACACAGCCATATCTTTGTTTATAGCAGCACAATTCACAATAGCTAAACTGTAGAACCAACCCAGATGCCCTTCAGTAGATGAATGAATAGGGTAACTTTGGTATAAATACACAATGGAACATAACTCAGCATTAAAAGAGAATAAAATAATTTGCAGGTAAATGGATGGAGTTAGAGAACATAATGCTAAGTGAAGTAAGCCAATCCCCCCAAAAACCAAAGGCCAAATATTTTCTTTGATATGAGGATGCTGACTCATAATGGCAATGTTGGGGGAACATGGGAAGAATGGAGGAACTTTAGATAGGGCAAAGAAAGGGAGTGGGTAAAGGGGTAGGAATGATGGTGGAATGAGTTAGACATCATTACCCTAAGTATATGTATGAAGACACAATGGTGTGAAAATACTTTGTGTACAGTGACTTGAAAAATTGTGCTCTATATGTATACTATGAAATAAATTGTATTCTGCCATTGTGTATAACAAATTAGAATAAACAAATAATTTAACTTCAAAAAGTAAAAAAAAAAAAAAGAGAAAAGTACAGACATCAAATATCTGATGAATATTTGTCAAGGACTGTATTGGCCACTGGAGTTGACCACAAAGGGACACCTTGGAATGTTGGAAGGAAATGGAGATTTTTGACATCTTGCTTCCACAGTGCCTACATAACTCTGTTTTGCCATCCTGGTTCTGCTGGTTGATGTAAAGATGTAGAATTCTATTATTTTCGTTTTGTTACACATGTTAACAAAGGAAAGAAGAAGAGTTTCTTGAGAAAATACCTATAATTGATATTGAAATATTATAAACTTTATGAAAAATGATGTTTAGACTTGCAGGTGACATAAGTATGAAAGAGCTTTAGAATTCAGCTCTTAACTTCTGGCTGCCTAATACAAGCAGTGACTACTTATGTGGAGAGTAGAATTCAGTTAGAGAATTGATGTTTTCCGTGTTCTTATTAAAGTCAGCAGTAACCAGCAATGTCAATCCTCTGTCCTCATGGAGCACAAGCAGGCATTCCACATGGTTGATCATCCCTCCACCTAAAACACTGTGCACTTGACTTCTAGGCCTGCACAAGCCCCCAGATTTTCTTCTACTCTTCTTATAGCTTCTCCTCAGTTTCCTTATCTGATTCTTCCTCAGCTCCCTGATTTTAAATTATTAGATACACTTTGATCTTAGATTTTGGTCTCTTCACTATTTATACTACCATTCCTGGAAATCCCATTCTCTCCCATAGCTTTAAATGCCATTTGTATGTGATCCTTCCAAATTTTGTCTCCATATCTTAAACACATAGGCTCTTTTTATCACACAATCTTGTGCAAAGTTTAGTTACCAGAAATCACTCCAATACGACTCTTAAAATCTAGTTTTGTAACAATATATCTTTAAAGTTTGGCAATCCATCCTTCCTGTTCTTTTTTTAAAAACAAACAAACAAAAAATTGAAATAGTCTGCAGTTCTTCCTTTCCCCACACTTCATGTCCAATCCATAAGTACATCTTATTGGCTCTTCCCTAATAAAACTTGATTAAAAGGAAAATATCACTATTTGAATAATCTACTAATCGTTCCTTGTATTTGTGTTTTAGACTCGCTTCAGTCTGTTCCCAAGGAATGTGAGAATGAGCTTTTAAAAACTGCAGTTCAGATTGTGTGCACTATTCACTCAAAATCCTCCAATGACCACCTGTCTCATCCACAGTAAAATTTTAAAAGTCTCCATTCATCTTTAAGCTCCTAGATGGCCTGCAGCTTCTTCATGTCACCCTTCATTACACTACTTAACACATGCTGGCCTCCTCGAGCATGCCATGATTACCTGGGCCTGAAGCCTTCCTGTTTGGTCTTTCCTTGTCCAGAATGCTTTCCTCCTTAGCATGAACAGGTTTCCTTTACCTCACCTCCTTTGATCTTTACAAGGTCACCTTGATAATGAGAGCTTCTCTGGCTACTCTGTCTTCCAATGTCACCTGCTCACACTTCCTTTACTGCTTTCTTATAATCAACATTCAATTTATGTATCCTTTTTCCTTTCTCCTATTCTAGAGTGAGAACTATAGGAGGGTAGAGGTTTTGCATATTTCTTTCATTGCTGGGCAGGTTCCCTGACATCTAGAAAAATACTTGGCTTATAGCAAGTACTCAGTAAAGATGTGTTGAGTGAGTAAATATAATCACGTTGAAATATGACTGAATGAGTTGGGTCCCATGGATACTTCAGCAACTTACCTTTTTAGGGAACAGAAGGCAGAAACATTTTTTTGTCGGCTAAGTTGCTCAGGAAAGATTTAAGGAAAGAAAATTCACTTGATACCTGGCATGTAGAATGATCTCGATAGATAAGCTTACCAAATAAGTGGGAAAAAAAATGAATTCACTTAATATCTTCATTCAAACCTAAGGATTATGTAACTAGGCCTGATAACTTAATAATCATGAGCATTAGGAGGATTTGGAAAAAAGCACACCAAATATAAACCTGTTCTCATCTTTGAGAGAAAATTGTCTTAAGGAACATAACGGTTGCTATCTCCCAAGTTTGGATCCTAAGGAGTCTTTATCATAATATCGTAACAAGTTTTGTGGAGTCAATCTGGGACAGTCTGCTGCTAGGTGCTTCTATGCACACTTTCTATTTGAGCAGGTCATGTCAGATGAGATTAAAACATCTTCACAACAGCCAAACACAAAGAACAAAGCCCTATGTTTTGTGACATAGCAGGTGGGGAAGGGAATCACAGTTCACTGGAGTGAGTTCTTCAGTATAGCCCACTGGAAAGAGAACTTCTTGCCCTTTAGCTTGAGATAATTAGAGTAGCCCAGTGTCAAGCTTTGCTGTGGACCTCATTAATGTAACTCTTCAGGGAGGGATTTTTACTTGGGAAAATTAGCCTTGGCTCTCAGGAACACTGAAAAGACATCTTCCTGCCTCTGGTGAGGATCTGAAATTCTCCATTATCGCCTCTGGTAACAGAAGAGAAGGTACTTTTGATTCATTGTCACATTTAGATAAGTGAAGAAAGATGCTACTCAACAAGTGTGAATAGAGTTTGGTAAACAAATGGATTTTTTATTTTTTTTTGAAGTGATATTTAAACAGCAAGTGTGTCTGCTCTAATGTAGCTAGGCTGTCTAGACTTGAAGGACTGCCTTTACTTGTGTTTGGCATGTTATCACCAAGAGACTTTTGATGAAATTCAGTGACTGCACTGTATCCTCTCCAAAGGTTTTTGTGCATGAGGAGATTCTCTGAAGAAAATTGACTTTACAGACTTTGTTTATCTAATATGTCCTTCTTCATTCTTGTTGCATGCTGTTTCATATTCCACTGTAAATAACTCACAGATTTATTGACCTCTGGCAGTCTTTAGGAAAAAGAAACAAAACCCATTTTGTAGGGTTTACTTTAGATTTGCTTTAAGTGCATCAGTGATTCAATCTCACCAAATCTTTATAACAAAGCACAATTTTCTTCTAGCCTCATCAAAAGGATTGTGCTGTATATCCCACAGTTTTGTGCCTTACTTTATGCTTTCCTGGTAAAGAGGCTTTCATTCTGAAGAGTACAATGTAGTTTATAAGACAGTTCGAAACACTCAAAAAAATTTAAACCGAGTTTATCACTGGCTAGCTATGTGATCTTTGCTAGCTTCTTTTAGTTTTATCATCAGTAAAATGGAGCTTATTATTCTACCTAACTTTGAAAGCAATTGTAAGGATTAAAATAAACAAAATAGATTAAAAGAAGTGCTTAAAACAATTTCTAATATAATATTTAATAAATAACACCCCATTACTATGATCATACTCTTAAGTTCAAGAATTGGCTGTTTGAGCCATATTTGATCAATTAATTTTAACAAATGAACAGGAACTTACCCAAAATTATCATAAAATGCCTGAATCAAAATATAGTTTATATGGCCTCAGTGGTAAATACAGTGAGGATAGAATAAATGAGAAGTTTTTATCTACCATTAAGTGGAAAGTTTTATTTTTTTTATAATTCAGATTCTGTGTAATAATAAGTTTCAAATGGGAATAAAATTTAAAGAAATGGATAGTAAATAATATAATCGAATCAATTTATTCAATGACTTTAAGATATCCATTTTAATGAAATATTCATCTACATTCAAACAACAATCCAAGACTGTGAGAATGGATATTTGTGCTTTCAATTTATATTATATTTAGCATGAACCTCCACTACCTAGCAGAGTGTCTACTTTTGAAAATGCAATTGTTCTTAAGAAGTTTCAAGGACAAAGTTAACATGTTTATCTAACATAAACTTTGAACAGTATGGTGATTAATAGTTTGCTAATATCTGATTTCTGGGCCTCAGATCAACATTTTGCCCTAGTATGTGTGCATACAAGTGGAGATGTTTGCATGTGTATATATTTGGATCTTTGGATAGTTTCCAGTGTGTCCTAGTCATATTTTGTAAAGGTGTGGTGTCTGGTAATTTCTGTTTTTTGAGTTTCAAAATGTTTATTGCTGTTTTCTCTACCTATGTCTATTTTCTTGGAAAGCAGTCTATAAGT